ATTCATCCATCTAGAAATGCTAATCTTCTTGGTAATCATGATTTTTCCAACTTTAACTATTGTTCCTACTCCACAAATGAGGAAACTAAGGTAAAGAGAAGGAAATGGCAAACCACTCCAGTATCTTTGCCAAGAAAATTCCACATGAGGTCATGAAGAGTTGGACATGACAGAAACTAGTGAACAACAAAAAAAAGTAAAGAGAGTTTAAGTGTAGAACTGTGGAATTTTAGACCAGAAAGAGTACTTAGAGATAATTTGATACAAATTCCTCATTTTACAAATGAGGAAACTGAAACCCAGAAGGTAAGAATGTGACTTATGCAGAGCTAGGATGCTAACACAGATGATCTTTTAAGCAGAAAATGGCAGTAAGACATCATATTCTCTGATAATAATAAAGCTCACTTCTTGATCTATTGATACATTATAACTTAGTCCACTTTCACTATTTTTATTGTTTTGTCTCCTCTTGCAGGTAGGCCCTGGAGCCTTATAACCCATTTAATATTCAGATAAGCATCCAGACCTGTAGGACTGACTATAACCATACAGAATCTCTCAACCTTTGAAGTCTGTCCATCACCTGAGAAAGCCTGTACTCATGAAAGTCAATATAACACAGACTGTGCCATAGAAAAACACCTCCATACAGCTCCACATTATCAAAAATTTTTTACAGTGATTGATCTATACAAATCAACAAAGTGAATATATTAAGTTTTATTTGATTTGTGATCATTTATTTATATTCAAGGCACTCTTAACTTCATACTTTTGCCGCTTTGATGATGCTTCATGGCAAGGAACTGGCTTGGCAAGTAGCAACTAAACTATAATTTTTCCCTCTGTTGCAAGATGTAGATATTAAGTACAAAAAGTCAAAGCTGGGGATTTAAAGAGCAGTCCGGCAGTTTATGAAGGTCACCCGTTAAAAAATCTTCAAGGTTCAGACTCACCCAAGTTAATCTTATATAGACATGAAAAAATATCGATTGGATTTGCTGTTTCTTACATAGTAACTATTCTTGGCCTCAAATCTGTGAATCATTAATGCTATTTTTTCCTAACTGAAGTGTTGATATTTCCTTTGGGATCAGGAAAGGATCTTAGTATTATGAATCATTTATTAAGACACAGCCAATTAAAAGCAGAGCATCCATCAATGATGGTCAATCAAATCTTTTTCAAGTGGGTTTCATACACAAAAACTCCCGAATGATATTGTCTTTGTCAAGGTTAAGAGGATATTAGAGAGAATCCTAAATCTGGAGTCATAAGGACTGGGTTCAAGTCTTGGCTCTTCCATTTCAATTCAATTCAACATATTTATTAAGTACCTACTATGTTCAAGGCATAAGACACCAGGCAAGAAGAATCCAAAGACTAAAACAGGCCCTGCTCCCAAGAAAATTACATTAGATTTAGAGCCTATAAATACGTACATATTAGGTAAAAGGAAAGGAGAGTACTAACAGCTGAGGGGGAAATCACAAAAAGCCTCATACAAGCAATGGCTCTTATGATGTGCTTTGAAGGAAGTTAGGAATTTGACATGGTAAAGTGGAAAAGGAGGGCATCCCAAACATGAGAATTCACGGGAGATGCAATGTCGTGCACATGGCACAGTGAGCAGGCTAACTTACCTAGAACAGAGGAACTAACTTCATAACCTTGGGAAGATCCCTTGCCCTCTCAGGTCTTCATTTTCCACATCTGGAGATGGACCAGATGATCTCTAATGTTCTTTCCAGCTCTAACATGCTCTAATTCTGCATTCTAAATCCTAAATACTATACAAGGCTCAAAGCTAAGTCATATCAGGTAGATTTGTTCTAAGGAAAATTTAGAGAATTTACATAGTTTAATCTTGAAACAGCCAGCTTGCACAATGTTTATTATTATTGGGTTATGTAATTTTTATTAAAAGATTTCTGTAATATTTACTAATCTATGGAAAAGAAATATTTTAGTAGCAGCTTTTTAAAAATGTCTTATTGATGGCCCTTTAAAAAAAACCAACCTCAAAAAACTACTATTGTCACTTTCCAGTAGCCTGCTTCCACACCCAAAGAATACGGTCTTATAACAAAAAGAACAGTAAAGCTAAACAAACCAACACACTAGATGTGTCTGAATGAGAGGAAAGAGACTTGCTTTCCCATCAGTCTTCTAACGTCCTGATTTGTAACTATCCTGATGAGATTTCTGAAGTCTTTTAGCATTCTTTAGAAAGAACTTTTTAAAAACATCAGGATTAAGTCAGAATTGATTTTTTAGACAAGAAGGCAGAAGTGAGTCACTAAAGGAAAAGACGAACTACAAAAATTAATACTTTACTCCATTTAAATTTCAATGAAGACAAGGGTTCTCTTTCAAACACTTCTTTGTAAATTTGTAGGTTCTACTGGTTACAAGCATGGATGAGTCAGAAAGAAACATACTGGCCAAACTTGTGAACATGAGGACATCTCAGGACAAGATAAAGGTACTGAAGCCAAACAGGATCCATTTAAACAACAACAATGATGAGAATGATGAACCTTTGGAGAAACAGACTGAAATCATACAGATGTTCAATTCCTAATACATTACTTTCCTCTTGATGTGGTACTGACCTTTCTACTTGAATCTCTACTCCTGCCATGGTTTCCCACTTTCTTTTCAGCTCTTTAGAATTCAGTGTTTGGTAGAAACTTTGTTAGTGACTGGGCCTGGCCATTAAGTACATACTTGCTGGATTTCCCATTCAGATTTATCCTTCTGTCCAGGAGAAAAATGACTCTCCCAAACTCTGTTGGCTGGATCATTAGGCTGCATCACTTTATCTCTGGGCAAAATAGGGCGCTTGTAATTTTCCTCTTTGTCTTTTAAACTCCTTTCTGTTAACTAACAGTAAAAAACAAAAACCAAAAAAAAAAAACCCCAAATAAACAAAAAACAACAACCTTAGGGAACTTAAATGATTTTATGTTTACTTCAACCATAAAAGGTAGATGGGTATTTAGAAAGCTGTTGCTTCTTCCACAGGATCAGCTTTGAAAAAAAAAAAATATATATATATATATATACAGTATGTAATACATACATACCTGTATGTGTGTGTGTGTGTGTGTGTGTGTGTGCATGTATGTGTAAAAGGTTGGTGGTAATGATACCTAGGAAGCAGCAGGTGGGTCAGGCTCTGGGGCTCACAGGTACAGTGACAGCTGGCCCAAGCCTAAGGAACATTTCTGGATATTTAACATTTGTGGGAGACATTTGCAAACAAAAGGGTCAACTCATTCAAATGTAGTGGGTGCTTAATGAATGTGATATTGAACTGAATTGAATTGAAGGAACAATTCATTTGTGTCAAAGTCCAAAAATGTCACTGGTTTGTTGCAGGGTGAAATTTATTTTCTCTATACACTTTCCAATCATCTTTGAAAAACAGAGAATACTAGAAAATGAATGCTTGCCTAATAAATGATTCAGAAGGAAAGCTTTTAGTTAGCTTTTTTTGCCTGATGATGAACACACCAAGGAGCAAACATGAGGAGACTGATCTGTTACAGAAAGAACTGCATAACGAATATCACAAAAGGCCAAATTCTACCGGACGTGCTAAGAGACATGGAGTTTTCACACCAAGTGTGTCAAAATACAACTCGAGAGCTTACTTGATCCTTCCACTTCAGTCAAGAAGTAATGAGCACTTACACTGTGCCCAAAACCATGCTTAGTAAGCACCGTGAAGTATTAAAAAATTAAAATTTAAATAGAAAACACAGCTCATGTCCTCGAAGCTATTGCATATTGGAAAAATAATAAGCCTTCTCAGCTTCTATATATACTGAAATGAGAATTCTCCATAGTCTAATGTATTTACAATCTTCTCTCTCCTGCTATCACTTTGTTTCTCAGGTTATAGATTTAGAGCTAGAAGAAAGGTTAGTGATCATCTGTTCAAATTTCCTCATTTTAGAAATGAAGAAAGTGAGGCCCAGAGAGGTCACTCATGAATGAAGAAATGATAGGATCTGTAATCATGTCATTTAGACTCTAAATTTTGAGCTCTTCCCACTCCTGTCTTGCATTTATACTTGCAAAAGCACATACTATGGCCACAGTCCTCTTCATCCTCATCTTGTAAAGTGGTCAAGTCACTCACATTTTAGCTATACAGTATACACGGAAACTACAGTGAAAGGATCAGACATTATCCTCTGATGTCACAGATCTGATTAGATTGCCTACTTATGTAAAAAGGGATGCAGATGCATGTCATGATTAGCATGGGAAATCTACAGAGGAAGAGTAATCCTTATTTTCTAATGACGGTTCCATAATCATGGCACCATTTATTATTGCATTTTGATTGGGGGAAAGGGGGAGAAGTTGCTGATTGTTCAATGTACTTATTTCATGCAGTTTTGTGCTTTCCTATGGAGAAATCAGAAAGTCTCTGGTTACCTGGTCACAAAGCCTAACCAAGATAGGTTTCAGTTTTCATTCAAAAGTAATTTCAGTTGAGATTTAGGACCGTAATTACTTTTCCCTTATACACTAAGATTGAGAATATGCAGTCATTTCTTTCTTAGCAGAGTGGAAAAGGTCTTTGTTCTACCCTGATGTCTCAATGGGTGAAAAGAAGCTCCAATCCTGAATAATTTGGTTATGAAAAATATTCAATGATATCCCAAGTTTAATTCATTTAGTAATGAAAAGCAAATGAGATCAAATAGCATGTTTGATTTGTCTCAGAAGGAGAAGGATTGGTCTGTAGGAATGGATTTGAAGCTAGAACACAGTTAGAAATGAACTTGACTATGGGAATCCTGTTCCAACTTACAGAAGCAGGTTTTGCCTTCCATGGGATATCAGAGTACCGAAGAGGAAAAGATCTTGCTTCTAAACAACTGTGTGTAGATGTACACACGTGTACTTCCATACATGCACATATGTAGATGCCACACTAGTCCGCTGAAACAGAATGTGTAAACCATTGTCACACTTACCATTTTTGCAGATGGGACAACATTGATCTGGCTCGTACACAGGGTCCACACATTCCGTCTGAGGACAAGCCGACACAGTACAAAGCACTTCACCGCTGGCTTCACAGCGGCATTTCTCGCAGGGAGAGACCTGAAACACAACCCCATTCATCCAGGTTACTCCTTCAACAAATGATGTTTGGGTATGAATGAGCCTAGATCCCACATTTTCTGCTGACATCGCTGGTTCCGTGGAAAGGCTAATCTCCAGAAAAAGCCAGGGCTGTGCCTGCCGCAACACTGAAGTCCTAGTAACAATAACCATAACAAAAATAATAATAGCTTTATTTTGCATTTTAAGGTTTACAAGGGCATTTAGCCTCATTTGTTCCTTACAACTCCTCTATGAGGTAAGTATAACAGTTAGTATTGTTTTTGCAGATGAGAAAAATAAGGCTTAAAAAATTTAAATTTGGTCACAACTACAGAACTAACGGGGCAGCTAGGCGGCACAGTGGACACAGTGCTAGGCCTGGAGTCAGGAAGACCTGAATTAAAATCTTAATTCAGACACTTACTTGCTGTGTGACCCTGGCAAGTCACTTAACCCCCTTAGTCTCAATTTCCTCATCTGTAGAATGAACCGGAGAAGAAAATGATAAACTATTTTAGTATCTTTGCCAAGAAAACCCCAAATGGGGTCATAAAGAGTCAGACATGACTAAAACAAATGAACAACAACACACAGCTAAAAAGAAGCAGCTAGGTGGCTCAATGGATTGAGTGCTGGACTGGAATCATGAAAACCTGTGTTCAAATTTGGCCTCAGGCACGTACTATCTGTGTGATCCTGGGCAAGTCACCTAACCTCTATCTCCCTTAAGCCGTTGGAGAAGGTATCTTAGCCCAGGGAGCAGCTAGCTAGGTGACACAGTGGATAGAGGGCCTGGTTTGGAGTCAAAAAGACTCCTCTTCCTGAGTTCAAATCTGATTTCAGACTCTAGATGTGTGGCCCTGGGCAAGTCACTTAACCCTATTCAACTGAATTTCCATATATGTAAAATGAGCTAGAGAAGAAAATGGCAAACCACTCCACTGTCTTTGCCAAGAAAACCCTAAATGGGCGCACAATGAGTCAGACCCAATTGAAAAAACACTGAACAACAACATAATCTTTGCCAAGAAAACCCCATGGGCAGTGTAATTCATGGGGTCACAGAGAGTTGGACAGAACTGAACAACTGAACAACAATAACAATAACAGAGCTAATCACTACTGATGACAGTGTAGATTTGAACCCATGTCCCTCTCAATTCCAAGTCCAACATATTTTCCACTACGCTGCATTATCACTTCCTAGAGTATGCACACTACAGAATAGGGAGATCAAATTTAATTTCTGGTAAAATTCTAGAACATTTTTTAAAGGGGTGGTTAGTGAACATTTAGAAACAGAAGCAGTAACCACAAATAGCTAGCATTTATTCATCAATAACAGATAATGCCAAGCAATTCGAATTGTCCTTTTTTAATAGCGTTATTAGCCTATCAGATAAAGGGAATGTGGGAAATACCATTTACTAAGATTTTAGCAAGACATTTGACAAAGACGAAATGGAGATATGTAAAATGGAGGATGCTAGATTTCAATAGATTACAAACTGGCCACATGGCTAGAACCAAAGAGTTATCAATTAATTAGTTCCTGTCAACAAAGAACGTAGTCTCCCAAGGAATGATCCAGTAATCTGTGCTTTGTATTGTGTTCTTTAACATTATGAGAAAAAAAAATCAATGGTATGGTAAAAGTATAGATGGCTCACTTATCAAGTTCAAAGATATTACAAAGGGAATGGGTGGCAAAGTAGATAGAGCTACAATGGACCTAACATCAGGAAGATGAGTTCAAATCCAGCCTCAGACACTTCCTAGCTGTGTGACCCCAAACTAGTCAGTTAACTTGTCTGCCTCAGTTTCTTCAACCATAAAATGGGGATAATAATAGCACCTACCTTCCAGAGTTGTTGTGAGGATCAAGTAAGACAATACTTGAAAAGTGCCTAGCGTGGTGCCTGACACATAGTAGGTACTATATAAATTCTTTCCCTTTTCCCCCTACAAAGTGGGGGAGAGATAATTAATACACTGAACAATAAGATTTAGGCTTAAAAAATGGACTCAATCTAATAAAATTAAAGGTAATATGGAAAATATAATGATAATTAGGTTCAAAATTCAACTTTGCAAGTACAATATGGGAAGGGAATGACTAGATAGCACTGAAAAAAAAAGATCTAGGGGCGGGGAGTGGTTAGTGCACTGCAAAATCAATATGAGTTAATAGTGTCATAGAAAACCCAATAAAGCTAATGAGCTCTTAGGCTACACTGAGATGTAGTGTCCAGAACTAGGAAAGCAATAATTTTGCTGTTCTCAACTTGGACCCCACCTAGAGTTTTCTATTTCATTCTAAGAGCCCCATTTTGTGAGGGATATTGGCAAACTGGAGAAATCCAGGAGTGCAACCAGGATGGTGAAAAGTCTTGAAATTAATCAATCAATCAACAAGTATTTATTAAGCATCTACTCTGTGTCAGTTATTTTATATTGATATCAATACTTTTTGTCTTCAGAATGTCAGCTAAAGGAGGAGACAAAAAAGTATGCATTTCAATATATGAAATATAAACACAATGTGAATAAACAAAATATATACAAAGTGGCTAAATATAAAATTATTTGGGGGCAACAGCACTAGCAGGTGGGAAGAGGGGAACCAGGAAAGGCTTCAGAAAGAAGGTAATGCTTGAGCTGCATCTTGAAGGAAGAGAGGACTGGTTGAAGGAACTGTGAATATTTGGATTGGAAAAGAGAAGGTTTGGGGGACATAAAATCTATCTTTAAAAATCTAAAGGGCTATCATAGGGGTCAGACTTGTTCTACTTGGCTCCAAAGGGTACGACTGAGATCACTGTGTGGAAGTTTTGAAAAAGAAATCTTAGGCTTGGTGTAAGGTTCAAGTCAGTTCATAATTTTATAAGCAATTGATAAAAAAGAAAGAAACAAGATTTGCTAACAAGTTGAGCTACCCCAAAGTGGAATGGACTTCCTTCAAGAAGTAATGGCCTTCCACTTAACAGAGATCAACGGTTCAATGACCACTTCTCAGGTATGCTGTAGAGTTTTTGTTTGCTTTCTTGTTTAATTATTTTTAAGTATAAGATGGCTGTTTACCTCTGTTCCAAAACTGGGATTGTGTGTTATCATGCCTAGCCCTAATTGGATTACATATCTCCTATTAAGCAGCAAGCAGAACTGATTAGGTAGGTAGGCTAGTAGACAAGAATAAATAAAAGCTCTTATTTACAGAGTACTTCAAGGTTTACAAAGCATATTCCTCATAAGAAATCATTAAGTGGTTTACTTAAGTATTATGGCCCCTATTTTCCAGAATGGGGGAAAACCTGAATAAATTAATGAATTGCCCATGGTCACACAACTAGTGTCAGAAACAGTATTTGAACATGTATCCCCTAACTACAAAAAGAACATGCTTTTCATTACTTCACACTGAATCCCCAAACAGAAAGGGGAGCTTCCAGTTCAAGTTGCTACCTCATGGCTATAAAGGCAAAATATCTCAAGATATTTCAGCAAAGGAGCAAAGGAAAGAGATTCAAGATAGGTTATAGGGATGAAATAAATTGGCCAAAGTACAGAGGTTCCATTGCTGCTGGCTTATTGATTCATTATTATTGCCATTTGATAGATTTAGGTAAGGAAATTGTTTTTTGACTGAGGGCGAGGGAAATGAATATACAGGGGACATCCAGAGTCCACAGAACCCTCTGTGTAAAGAGGGGGCATCAGACACTCTCACATGTAAAATCAGATCTACGTGCCATGTGACCAGAAATATCTTAACATTTGAAGCTCTCAAATTCCACTCTTATAAACTGGGCTAGCATGAAAATAGTAATAACCTCTGTTTTCTGAGAATAGCTACTATCTTTGTCTTTCTGTTTTCGGTCTCTCATCTCTCTAACCCATCCATTTACAGAGGTAATATAAATATTAATCTTTATAAGACACCTCAGACTGTGTTATCACTCTGATCAAAAATTTTCAATGGTTCCCCATCGCCTCTAAGATAAAAGCACAAACTACTCAATGCAACATTAAAAACCCACATTCTGACTCCTAGATGTATTTCCCAACATTTCACATTAATCTATTTTATGCACTTTTTTCCCAGCCAAATTGGCCATTCATCAAGGCACTGAACTCAAGTTCAACTGAACTTCTATCTCTTATTTCTATTTCTTTGTGTAGGTAGCCTTGCATGTCTGGAATGCCACCTCTTCCTCGGAGAATCCTAGGCTTCCTTTAAGGCTCAATTTAGGTCCTGTGTCCTATAGGGAGCCTTTTATGTTCTCCCAAATTGTATTTTTGATTTGTTGTATCACCTCAGTAGAATATCAGCAACCTGAGGGCAGGGACTTCTATTTTTGTCCTTGCATTCCCAGAGCGTAATACAGTGCCTGGAACATATAAGAACCTCCTAAATGTTTACCAAAATGAACAAAGACTAAGCAACAAAACAGATAATTAATGGTTACAGAACAGCTAGAGATATGAAATGGTTTTAAATAATGAATCAAATTTGCAAACTGGTAAAAGGAAGAGATACCAACAGTTTTGTTTTGCTAGTATTCTATCAAAGCCATAAAAAATATTCAGCATAGAATGAATGGAAAGGGCACTGGGCCTGAAATCTACTAAGATCTGGGTCTGAATCTCACCTCTGATACTGCGTGGGAAGTCACCTCAACTGTGAACCTCTGCTCCCTCATTTGTAAAATGGGGATTAAAATATCGACAGTACTAACTCAAAGAGCTGTAAAACTAACTGATTATGTTTTTCTATGTAGTTCCACATTCTTACACTGTTTTTTATTTCCCCTATGTTGTAAAATAAAATCCAGAAAACCTCATAGAATTTCTTAATCAAGTACCTTTTGTGATAGATATGGTACTAGGCAAGAAACAAAGTGGAAGAGCTAGGTTGAAGGTTCCTAGCCTGTCAGTTTCAATTGATTAGTTATCAAAGGTCTAACCAAATAGATAAAGGTGTTATCAAGCCTTAGTCT